GAGCGAGTGTTTCCCGGCTCTATTCCCGCTGCTGCCTCATTTTGCTCCGCGTATCCAGCTGGCCCGCCGACGGAGCGGATGATCCAGAAATTGCATGCGAGCAATCCTTCAGCTCCGATGCCCCTATTTCCCACGAATCCAATGCATCCCGATGCCCGTCGGCCCTGACCGCGCCCCCTCTGTAGCCTCGCTCCTCTCCTTTCGGCGCTATCGAATAAGCGACTGACAGCTTAATCGCCCGCCATTCCCAAGTTCTTTTTCCCCGATCCGCTCGTTGAATAATTTCAGCGGGCACGCAGCTCTCGTCGCTGATTTCGCCTGTTTCGCTCATACATAGCGCCCACTCGTTCTCTCTGTTTTCCTGTATGTAGTTCTCTCCTCCCGTCCTGTCTTTCAGAGTTCTGCAGTCGGGACTCCCCGGCCGACGTTGAATGCTTCAGTCAGCCGCGCGTTTTCGGCTCAGGGAGTGTGAGAGGAGAGCACCGATATGCTAAACGCGGAGAGAGGGCGGAAAAAAGAGAAGTCGGTGAACTAGTCAATCAACAAATCAGTGACCGGCGGCGAACATCGCTGGAGCGATCCACGTCCTCGTAACGCTCCTTTCATCGATGATCCGCGCGGACTTCATCGAGGAATCGATCTCAATGCGCGATATCTCTGTTGTCATGCACGATCTCACTCGGGTATCCCGTTTCAAAACCACCGGTTCTCTGAGCCTGCGGCAACTCCCACGTGCTTGTCGGTTTGTTTGTGCGCTCGACCGGCGTGGGAAGCTCACGTGATTTTACGCGTGTATTTGTTTTTATTTTCGAAACGTTTTTTCTGAGCTCTGACTCAGCCGGTGGCGAGCTTCTCGGGCGAAGAAACCAGCCCGGAAAGCCCACGGCCACGGATCGAACCTCTCGTTCTTCCACTTCGCTCAAGAACTGTCCGAATTCGAGCTTGACTCCCATCAGCGCGAGAAGGCAGCGTCGTCAAACAAGAAGCGCTCGGGTAATTACGAAGAATCAATTTCTCACGCTTTACCTGTAAACAGATTTCTGCTTTGCTTCGCAAACAGAGTCGCGATCTCGCAAGCTGATCAAGTCGCGTTCCTCACCGCTATCCGTATCGGATCTCGACTGCGGGATTTTTGTTCGTTGTGAGCCACTCTCTGAAACGAATTTTCGGACCAGCTCTGCGTGTGCTCTCATGCCTAGAAGTCAGTTGCGATTTGCGCTGTGCTGAGTAGAATCGATCGTCGTCGAAGGATGGCAACGACGACGCGGACGACGTCAACGGGGAAGAAACAAGAAAAAGTCGATGGCTCGCCGTAGCGGCTGCTGTCGGACGTAGGAGTCTGTCGGAGGGGTGGGGGAAAAAAGAGACGGAAAAGTCGAAGGGTAACGAAACGAAAGCGAAGAGTCCAGACGCGTGCTTGGCTTACATTGCTCATCCCCGTCCCCATTCGCATCACCCCCATCAGCACTCACGCAAGCAGACGGACGGACCAAGCGACCCACCGACGGAGAGGAAGCACTCTCTTGTCCCATCTCTGCAGTTCGATCCTTGGTCTCCATCCTTTTTCCGCCCATCCTTCGGCTGCTCGTGATCCCTTTGACTCCGTTCCGTTGGTGTTATAATTCCATTCGCTCGATGCCGGGTTCAGATCTCGCTACAGTCGGACTCGAGCTCGGGCGAACTCCGTTCGAAGTTTCCCTGTATTCCTCAAAGATGCACTTTGTAGGGTGAAACTCTGCTCGGTCCGTTTGAGAGATCTCCCGAAAGGGAGAGATACAAGGGATTCAAGACAAACAAAGAAGGTCAAAAGCGCCAGAGGAAATTCCGGATGGGTAGAGATGGAGTTCAGTGAAGCTCTCTTCTCGGGAGGGGAGCATTCCCCACGGAGAAGCGAAGGAGGAAATTCCCGCTCGCTCAAACAGAGATAAAGCTGACCGAAGTAATCAACAGCGGAAGAATCGAAGGTTGACCAGTAGAATAACAATGGCCAATCTCCGTGAAAACAATGGAAACGTTTCCCGACTCTCCGCACCTCCCATAATTGAGTCTCTCCATATCGCTGCTTCCCCCGAAACTTCTTTTTCCTGCTCTCCACCAACATCACTTCTTCTATTCTCTCCCCCCTAACGGAGATCACAGGATTCTCGCCTCGCAAATCGAGATAACCTATGCTGGCCTGCTATGAGATGAGTTTTGGAGTCGAGAAGTCCCTGAAGTTCGGCGTCTCGATGAGAGAAAGAACGGAATCCCCGTCAGCCTTCAGACTTCTGAAGGGTTCGCCGGAATAATTCCATCCCCGATTCTGCCGCTCCCCTTTGGGCGATGCCTCCCCGCTTTGCGGACTCCCAATCCCCTCCTATCAACATCCGCAACCTCGTCCCACACCGTTCATCAGCTGTTCTCAGGGAAAAGAGAGCATTCCTCGAGAACGAGGTTGGTTTCTTCATCCGACCGAGTTTCCTTCCTGATTGGTTTTCTTGAGTGCACCGCTGTTTGACTGGTTGATACACACTATACCGAGTTGCTTCGGAGCTTGTCACGCAGGAAGTGAGACAAGCGGCCGAAAAGGGAGTTCCTCACATTGACGTCAACTGCGGCAGTAGCAGCAGCGAAGCTAGCAACAGGCTTCGCCAGAGGAGACTATTTGATGCTCTCTTGCCAAGACCCTCTTCGGAGTTGAGTGCAAACGGTCAATCGATGCCTTCGCAGGTCAATTCAATCTGTTTCTATTCGCTCAATTATTGAATCTGCCGATTCGCCAATCTGATCTGCTTCATTAAAATCCGCTCCCATTCCTTAGAGCGCACCGGGGACGATGTCACTCGTCACTCTGTTCCATCGCTCTTCCCCGATCGTCCGTCCTCCCGTCTGCTTCCATTCCCACCTCTTTCTTCTCTTGAGCTCATTTCCCCGGACTTATCTATCCGAGCTATCTCTTTCCATGGCTTCCCTTGAACTCTCGGCCAACTCTCCCGGAGAATCTCTGCTTCGAGGAAGAGGAAGAAGACACCTTTAGAATTCCAGTGGTAGGGATTCCTCATCCAACAAGCGAAGCTTCCGTTCCCCGGTGGGGTGCAAGAGACACTCTATAGAGACCAGCGCGCCGTATAAAAACCATGAGATACTCTCCGCTAGGTTCAAATGAAGAGTCGAAGGAATCAAGCCGTTAGAGGATCGATTCGGATTCGAGGAAAAAAGCGAATTTTCGCGGATTGAAGGTGGATAAGACGAATAAACAATGAAAAAAACCGACCGGTTCGGAGGCGACTTGAAATGGAGCGTCGGCAGTTTTTCCCGCTCGTCTAGAGACTCCCGAACATCGAGCACGTTGCATCATCATTCCCACATTCTTTCCCCGACGTTCCGGCTCTTCTCTCCTTGTATTTTTTTCTCTCACCAAGGGTATCGGGTAACAAGTAGTCCCTCGCGTTGAGTGAACTTCATCAGTATGAATTACAGATATGAACTTAGACCGTATAACGCGATGGAATAATGGTGTTTGCCGTCGTCGTTCTAGTCGTCACGGTGCCGGTGCTGATGCCACCGCGCTTCATGTCAGGGCCGTCAGGGAAATTATGGTGACATTTCACCGACAGCTGTAGACGCATTGGTCATCTTTTCGAAACGACCGTGAACCCTTCCCGACTAGATTTTTATTCGTTTTTCTTGGCCATCGTAATTCGCTTTGCTTCACACTGAACGTTTTCGCCCCGTATATTTCGCAGCGAGTCCATCCCTCTCACAAAGAAAGTCTCTAATTCCGAGTTCTTCGGATCATTCCGAAGGTTTGAGCTCGGATTCGTGGAATTTCCTTCTGCATGGGGAAGAATAACCTCCAGGTTTCCTGGTCTGTTGGTGAGAAAAATTTTTACGCGGGTGATTCGTACGAGCTCGGCTACCTTATTTGAGGTCTGTCTGAGGCGTCGGAAAATTCTCTCATTTCGAGCGAGGTGGTCAAAGGTCGGTGATCTCCAGAATGGAACAGGTCTGTGTTCTAATTCAGCCAGTTCATCACGGACAAAGTGACTCCAATTAACCTTTCGGAATATGAGTTCTCCTCCGTCGAGAACTTCACACGGCGGAGCGGAACACATCTGCGTATATCGATCCATCGACGGGAAAGCGACGGCACTCACGACTCGGCGTCGACTGAATCCGTAGCTAGCTTGCCAACAAACCACCACCAACAACAGGTTTTCTGTTAGCGTGAGGGCTTGTTGAACAAGCTCCTTTTTTTGTATATTTTCCACTATCTCTTGGCAACGGCCACTCCGGCGACGGGTGAAGAATTGTGACGAGATCGGGTAAAGATACAAATCACGAGCAAACATTTCTCCGCACACGAACAGTTCGAGGTGATTGAAGTCGGGACAGGAAAATTGAAATCATGGAGTACCGTTCGCAAATCATCCCGACCGGTCGAAACAGATATCGACAGCGTAAACAACAAATGACACAACAGTGCGAAAGCATTTGGATGACCATAAACGGACTACAACATGACCACGGCATCTACCGCGGAACTTCCGCTCGGACCGTCTACAAAGATGCGACCGCAGTATTCCCCATTTCTGGACGCTTTGCCGATCTGCTTTTCTCATTTCTATTTCGGCTCTTGACATTCTCGAATCGATGAAAGAATCAGTTCCGAATTTCTCGGAATCGGCAAAAGAATCCGTCTCGATTCACGGTGTCGATTGCGTTCCTGAAATTGACGCCGTTCATCACCCGAATCACTCTAGACTCGGTGACAGGCAACACACGAGAACGACCCGACGGTCGCCTCGGCCGTGCGGGGCCTAACATCTTCTACGTGAGTAGAAACTAGATTCCCGTGAATGACATGACGTGTGCTTGGAGCAGAGTCTCATGTCTAGCGGTACGAGCTCGACACGGCTTATGGCGTCTAATAAGTGTGCGCCGTCTCAAATTGAGCCGACTCGTTTCTTTAGGATCTCGGCTCGCGTTCCCACCTTTTATTCGAAACAGAGAGTACTCACCGAGTTCAGCAGTCGCGACTGGCAGACGTCAACATGATATTTCCGGCACTGAGGAGCTCCACTGGGGAGAAGTTGACGAACAAGACGGAACGCAATCGATCGTGGAGGAGAAGAGTCACCTGAGATTTCCGAATAAGTCACTTGTGAATTTCAGCATTCGAGTGACGTTATTCGAGAACACTTTTTCCTCGTTTGCCGGTACGTCACGCGCTGAACTCCTCCTGTTGTGGGTATGGCTGTTGCTCTTGTTGCTGTTCACTACTAACAACACTCACTAGTAACAATGGTACTCGCACACAGCGTTACGCTCGGAACTCCGTTAGATCCTCCGGATGAAGATATGGAACGTTTCATGTGCTGATCACCTCCTTCTCTCCATCGGCGGTATTCTTGTTGTCGTTGTTGGACAATAAATTGGTCGTGACGACACTTACAGAATTCTTTGATTTTCCGCCCCGGCCGTTTTCTGATATTCTTCCGGACTTGATGATATTCGCTGTTGATATTCTTGTTCAACAATGAAGACGATATGTTGCTGAGTGCGCGTTGTTCGGTTCAATGTTATTGTTGCTCTCTGTTTACATCTGGCCTGGCAAGCTTGTAAGATGAGCCTTTCCGGTTAGAAACTTATTGCACGAGCCGAAATTTTCTTCAACAGAATAAAAACGAGAGAGCCTCGGGGGCATCGTCGGTGACACAGTTGTTCGGAGCCGAATACACCACGGGGTTCTTTTCCAGATCGACCAGAACGCAGCCGATCCGAGATTTCTTTCCGATCGGCTTCAACTTCAAGACGACTCCGTTTTCAGCACTACTTGTTATCACTTCAGGGAAACTCCACGACTGGTCCCCGAGGATTGCACGCGGTTAAGACGCCGGTCGACGAAGCCTTCCGTGCGGAGTCGCGCATCACGCACTCCCGCACCCCGCCACGTTGTTGTGATACTCGATATCGAACAACGTTCGAATGTTGACACCGCTCCTTTTGAGCACACGCTGTGGGTCTTCTTCGCCAAACCTCCTGCCTTTTCAGTCGATGCTGATTGTTGTGCGGCTTCTAGTGCAGCACGGACTGTGTGCGGGCAACGGATCTCGTTTCAGCTCAACAGAACAACACGACAGGACAACGTGCGACCAGATCCGACCAGCTTCGGCAGGACGGTCAACGCGCAGTCATGCACCAAAACGAAGACGCTGCGCGCGGGCATGCACAGCTCGACGAGAGAGAATCAACGATGATGCCAACAACGTCGGCAAGACGAGCATCTACGAGACCAACAAATCACTTGACAGACTATTCGGCGTACCGTCGAGCCGTGAACACCGCCACAGCCGAAGTTAGCAGCTACCAAAGCGAGCGAGCAGCAACCGTAACACGGGAAAGGGAGCACTGTGTTGTGGAGAGGACCCGGAGCCTAAGGGAGGAGGAAGGCTCTCACACAGACGACAAGCTCTTTCCACTGTCCACGTTCGCCCTTTCCTGTTGCCCATCTCTTGCCGGCGAAACGTACGGTCGAGTATACCTACTGTATGAAGAATATCTAATTTCGAGCCTCGACGACTCTGGGACATTACCCGAGATGTGGGCAAGACACCCCGGCAGCTTCCTAACCGATTCTGGACCGCTGCGTCGGCGCACGGAATCACCCGAGACTGAGCGCGGAGTGTCCAAAATTCTCCAATGCAGTATGTCGGAAAAAATCTTGATGTCGATTCGGCATGAATTCCGGCGACTTTCGTAGCGGGAGAAGCATGATGCGATGTACGTACATATCTTTGGCGGAGAAGGCGCGGAAATACATTTGAACTATGAACCCACGCAGAATTTCTCAAACAGAATGAGTTGCAGGGACGAGACTCTGGGAAGCGGATCGGGATTCCGAGGGGGGTAAGACGTGAGAAATGGGAAAGCTCGGGGAAATGACATGGAGGGTGGGAAAGACCGTCGCGGGGCTGACCGAAGAACGGGAGTGATAGCAGCGGAACGTACAGACGTAAGGAGGAGAACAAGCAGAAAAAAAGGGAAAACTACAGGGATTAGTGAGGAGAAGGACGACAGGGAAAAGCGACGAGTAGCTTCCCTTCAACACAGACACACCAATGGGAGGATAGGAATGGGGGAGGAGGGGAGGGCGGGAGAGAAATCGATTGACGGGAGTGAGCATCGATCGGGGAAAAGGAAAATATATACTCCGTGGAGATGATGAAAATTTCTCGGGGCAGAGATGAGGTGTCGGTGGAATGAGCAGGGTCTGAAATCGGGAGAAAGGATTATCGGGCGGATCCCCGAAAAGGAAAAGGGCGTCAAGGAATTGGATCATGGGAGAAAGTCCGATAGAAACCCCCATAGCAGAGAAAATTCGGGGAGGAAGAGTAATCGCAAGGGCGGGTTTGGAGAGAGAAATAGATTGAAAGAGAGCGAGCCAGAGCGAAATGACGTCTAGATGGCGAACTCGCCGATTGACGCAAGCTCAGGGATTGCTAATGACAACTGTCGGGGCCGCTGTCCCTGTACGACCTCGCAAGTAACTTGTAAAGCCGACGACGATGGGAAACTCACGAAGAGCGAGTGATGGGAGAGGCGACCAAACGAAAGAATGAACAAATGATTGAAGCAGCTCTGGTCAAGACGATGATTACCATCGTGACCGAAGGGGCTCTAAGCGCTTGCCTCGGAGTTCCGCCCCCTTCCCCCGGTCCCCACGGTCATCATCAATGCGGAGGCGAGAACTCCTTTTTTCCCGTATCCTCGACGATTACTGCTTGGGCTACACGAATGGGCGGACTGTATTTGTTGATCGAACTCCAACGTCAGAGCTTATCCGAAATGAGTTTCCTCGCCCGACCCGCAGAACAGCTCGACTTGCTATCAAGCTCAATTCTCCCCTTCGCTCGGAGCGTCTCGCTTGAAGTGGAACTCCGTCCGCGGTCTTCAGAGAAAAAGAGACCGGGAAGTTCTGTCGCTGATCATTTTCCAGTTTCTATCCATTCGTATGGATCGACGGACGGAAAATCCCGAACTTCCTGAGCACGTCCATGCAGGGCTCAGGACATACGATAGAGAGTCGACGTCGGTGATTATTTCATGATGCCTTAGCCTTCGAGCCTGAAGTATCGAGGTTCCGGTGAAGACTGATGGATACAATAGTTCTTACGCGGCATCGACTAAGCGGAAATCCCACAGAGTGGACTCGCTCTCAAGCTGTCAATGGTCAGGAGTCAGGACTGAGGGACAACAGGTGTGTAATGAGAATGTGGGTAGGAATCGAAAGCGCCTCCTGGTTGCCTGGGGAGCGTTTTGCCCGGAGAGACAGAGGGGAATGAGAGCGCGCTCTCGCTTCTCATACAGTATCAAAAGAGCGCTGAGACACGGTTTCTATGACCGACAGGAATGAAATAGAGATAATGAGTGACTTGGAGCATATACCATGCCGACGGTGATGACGACAAGAACAACAACACCGACGACACAGGCGGTATCTTTTTGAGCGAGCGGTTGCCACGACGACTGACGCTGTGTCGGACAGCGAAGAGTTCGTCACGCGTGCTCCAGGATTCATCAAACATTCGAAACATTTACCAGCCCCAGCCAGGGGAAACAACCTCCGTCGTGAAACGCATGGATTGCAATCGAAAAAAAAAATCGCTCACAATTGAACGGGAACCTCAGCTGCATCGATGCAGGTGACACGCTAATGGGGGAATTTCATCATTTGCCTGTGAAGTCGTCGCTTCATTTTCCTGAATGAATCGCAGTGCATTCATTTCCTGTATTGTTAGCCGGGATCGACCAACAATCAGAGCTCTGAATCGAAGACGGAGCGGAATTAAAGGCAAAGAGTAATTCGACGAGTTATCGTCGAGGGGGATATTACGTGATTGTACGTCAACTAATGCTTTCACCGTCGAACGGGTCCGGCGAATGCGCAAATAGAATCGTTTCAGTTGAGCGCCCCAACCTCCGCCTCGAGCTCGGCCTCAGCCGGTTGACCACGGACGTGTTTCGATAAATTATATTGCTCACTTCTTCCTCTACGGCTGGGCTATCGCTACCATTGTAGCGTCGCTCGTCATGCGTCCGACATGCTTCCGCCTTTATTATCGGCGAATCTTCTGTTGTTACGTTCCGTTCCTTAGCCATAACCATAATTTTTAGTGCCGGCCTGAGATGGGTCCAGGCTGAGTGAATGCTACACGGAGCCTCTGTGCCTCGTTCCGAATTTTATTCTGGTCATGTTGTCGGAAACTAAGCAATCCTATTCCAATCGAACGGGCAGAAGTCAATGAATTCGGGCAGTCGTTGCGACCGAGTCCGCGCGCTAGCGGTCCACGAAACAAACTACGCTCGCTCGTTGACTGTCCGGGAGCTCGCTTATCAACGGAACGATTCTGTTCTATCTGGAGCTCATGCCGAAGATGGTGTCTCCTCGAGCTTCCTGTAGCGCAGAATAGGCGACCGAATAACATCGGATATCTTTTCCCTAAACTGCGGACATAAAAAATCCTCATTCTTCTCTATGGAGCCGGAGTCTGGAATGATGAAACTGTAATTCCGTGAAGCCCAAGCAGCATCGAGCTGCTAGAATATGAATACGAAGTAAAGACGGAGCGGAACGGAAAATGGAACAGAAACGAACAATGGGAATTGGAGGGGGAATCTTGCGTGAGTCTCATGCAAAATGGGACGAAATTTCGGGGGAAAATCGCGTCTGACATTGTTCCAGGAAACATCCGTTTTTTGATACAATTTGTCTTTCCGTACTCCCGATCCGTGTAACGACCACTCCATGTTACGGTTCCCACATGCGGAAATACGTCTCCGGACGAGGCGTGTCGGATCGGATCTTCAATTTGATCTTGAATCGGAGCATGGCGCCACTCAACACAAAGCAGCCGTCCGTTTGGCTGGTTGACGCTAGTCATTGGAAAACCCTCAATCAAATCGGAGTTCACAGAAGCGGCAGTCTCACTTGGGTCTCTAACCCTCACGCATCGTCGATATTCCGACCGCGCATGCATATATACTCATCGGAACTTAGGAACTCGGTCCAATGAGGCGATTTCTGACTTACGATTAGCTAGGCCTTGGCCTAGGCTTCTCCACAGGCGGTTAGCTCGCAGGGTAGTGGAGAACTGGAAAATCTTGAGCGAGGTTGCGATGCCTCGGCGAAATGCAGTGGACAATAGACACCTAGGAATTTGAGCTGTCAGACCGCGTCATCGGATCAGCTGCCTCAGGAATATCTATTGCCACCTGTACGGATTCGAGTCTGATTTGTGGGCACTAATCGATCAAGCATTCTCTTGAGTACCTCCGGAGAATCGG